CAATCTGGATAGAGATTTCCCTTCTCTCCAGTATAAAGAAACTAGATGGCACTCAGCTTGTGGTGTTCAAAGCACCAAAAAATACATCTGAAAAACTCTTCAGCAATGTCTCTTTCCAAAAATCATAACCCAGTTACTCAAGAGAATTCACAAATCTTGTGAGCAGTTTTATGTAGGAACTATTTTCTATCTCGAACTACACCCACCAACCAAATCACAGCGCAGAAGGAAGTGTGCATCTGCTCATGGACGAGAGGCTCGTGCTTATGACAGTGTGAGATGTAAACATTAATTGCATCCTCCTCAGCTGAGCTGTAACAATACAACGATACCAGCATATTATTGCCGAGGCATGTACCTTCTGCTAGTACCATGGAGCTAGCTATCGTTACAGCTGAGGAGGACGCCATTAATGTTTACACACTGTCATAAGCACGAGCCTCTCGTCCATGAGTAGATGCACCCTTCCTTCCACATGGTGATATGGTTGGAGGGTGTAGATCGTTAGAAAAAAAAAATAGCTCCTACATGAAACTGCTCACAACAAGGTCTGTGGATTATCTTGAGAAACTGGGTCAAGATTTCTGGAAATAGACATTGCTGCTGAGTTTTTCTACTAAAAGTACTTTATTTGTGCTGTAAGCACCACAAGGTGAGTGCCATCTAGTTCCATTATATTGGAGAGAAGGCAGACATCTCTGGCAACTCACACCAAAACAATTCAGACTGATATATATCACAACAGGTAGGAGAAAAAATATGTATTTCCAGTTTTGGGGTGAACTGTCCCTTTAATAAGTTGATGAGGAGCACCTTAGAGCAACATTACTGAAATGCACCTTTATGATTAGCGTCCTCACAATGATGCAGCCTCTGAATATGGACACAGTGTCGATGAATTTGGGCAGAGAACACTGACCTGCAAAAATTGTAGCTGAAAGACCAACTTTTGATATATGCTTATTTTTATGGGGTCAATAATGTTAATCATAATAGTGAATTATAAATTGTCACTTTGGGTTTACTACTGACATGACTGGAAAGGAAATATGCTAAATGTGTTGACCAAAACATATTGCTTGGACACCACCTCTTACAACAGTGTTTTTATTTGAGTTTAAAATAGACACAAGTCTGATTGGATGGTTCAAATCTGCAGTTTGATCATGTCTTAAAACACAGCAAGGACCTCAACGCTTCAGTTGTGTTGAATATTGCACATCCACAGGAAACAGAAGACTGTTGCAACATGCATAGGTCAGACATCCTTTACATTTCCACACACAAATCCCCACTGGCCTGTAAATGTGTTACAATGTTCACAATGACTTTGGAAGTACTGTATTAGACTGAGCATTAGTACCAAGCCAGTATATGACGATATATTTTCTTTACATGTCATCATATTGCTGGCCAATTTTAAAAACAAGGATGAAAATACTGAGGTGTCTAATTCACCATTTTCTTGTTGCCACAGAAATGCTCGTTTTTTAAAGATAAAATTACAAAATATAAAATACTACTCCAGCCTTTGACTATATCAGGCGTCACCACCTTCAGCATAAAGCCATATACTTTAGATCTGACTCAGCCATCTCTCACTGAAGTTTAGATGTGAAGGAGGATTAAATAAAACGTTCTATTCTTAAAGGAAAAGTACATTTATAAGCTTTCATCTCTGATATACAGTAAACCTACTCTGTTAAGGCAAGTGGTGACCAATACGTTATGGAACATTTGCAAAAGAATGATGGTAGATATCTTGAAACATTGCAAAAAATAAAAGGAAACACTAGTGTTGATCTTCACGTCAGTGCTGAAAATATGTTACTCCATCAGCCACAAATCTTAACCAACTCCTGACACGGGACAAGAGAAATATGATCCTATCTGTACATAAAAACATCATTTTCATCTCCAAAGAACACACTCGTTTTAGAAATGCGGTGTGGTTTAAGTGCTTGTCAGTCTACTACAGGTACAGTATGTGGTCAGTACAAACAGGTCAGGGTTCAGTCTTCTCCCATTTCACTTTGCCATCTAACACAATAATCAACAGATCTGATTTATATTTGCTTTAAAAACTGTATTCTTACTGTTATCTTACAGTGCCTATTTTTGTTACTAAAAACAATGAATAAGTGCACTTTTGAAATGTCCCATTGATTAGAAACATACCTGCATTCAATGTAACTACTATATTTACTTGATAACAGGTTGGGTAAAACATGCTGTTTACACCAAATAGGAATACTAGAATATACAAGATATCACTCACAAATCGCTGAAATGGGAATCTAATGACCAATGGCGTTGCAGTTGAACAGAACAGGAAGGTTATTACACTGGTAGATGCATTAGTCATTCCAAGTGCTTAAAGTACATAATGGATTTTTATTTTTATTTCGTTTTTTGTTTTTAACAAAGCGAGGTACTATATTGTATGTCCTTTCAAACAAGGCAAGCCACTGGTGAGTAAACTATATATAGTGGATATACTGTATCGTGCTGGGTCAGTTAAGCGTCTGCTCAGGACCTCAGGGCTCATCCACTGCAAAAGCAAACAGTAAGAAATCTGAGATAGCTTTATTCAGGCAGCTCCTTGCTCTCTGTCGCTGATTCAGGATAGTTCTTGTTCACCTGTCAGGTGTTCTGCTGAACATTTAAAGGTGTTCTCAAAGGTTTTTTAAACCAGATCTGGCTTGGGGAAGGAGTCAAATGGGTTGTTTAGTCATGAGTTCTCCAGCTAGAACCTCACAGATCAATATTAGTGTCTTTAGCTGAGGATGCCAATGACTACTATACTCTGTGTCCATAATCACTAAGTTTAAATGTTTTTTATTTTTTTCTACGCCTACAGCTGAAAGGCAGGCTCACAATTTTTCTAGTCTATCTTAAAGACACCTCACACAAAAAATAACCATTTGTATATCAATTACACACAGCGGGTATCTTGACTTTGTTAAGAAAACTTTTGTTTTTCTGGTATGCCTCTACAGTGGACGGAGAATCCAAAAATGGCTAGCCTTTTTCATGATTCAATTGGGGTCCACATTTAAAGGAACACTTCACCCACAAAACTACCATTTGTGAATCAATTAGTCTTGTCATGTTATCTTGAATTTGTGAAGAAGACAAAAAAAGCAGCAAACATATATATTTTTTTAATTGGCGACCAATTAAAAACAGCAAAACTTCATCAGAACATCCAATCCAACATTAAACATTACAAACTCTCACACAACTTGAGCAGTATAATCCAAGTCTTATGAATCCAGTCACATGCACAGTCCTTCCCAAAAACATGAATTTTCACTTGAGACTTACTTTTTAAAACTGAACTGAAAATAAATCATATTTACGCTCTCTTCAATGCTTGTCTCCAATACTGAGGTTTTTTTTTTTTTTTTTGTTAGAGAAAATGCATGTGTTTGGGAAGTACTGAGCATATAATTGGATAAATGAGACTTGGATTATAGATAGTTGCGGTGCCCAATCAATCAATAAATTAATATGTCCACTGTTTTCTGTGGAGGCACGCAAAAAAAAAAAAAAAAGAAAAAAAAAAAGAATGGCATGACTGATTGATTTACAAAAGTAATTTTGCAGGTTACAAACTCCTTTAACGGCAGCAAAACTATATCAAAACATCTGTTTACAAACACTCACGCAACTTGTGCAGTGTAATCCAAGTCTCATTTATCCAGTCGAACACTTTAGTACTTCCCAAACACATGCATTTTGGCTAAAACGTCACCACATAATACACTTCTGCCTACAAGTAATGTGCCCTGGGGGTCCCTTAGCATGTGTACACGTATGAGTTCCGCTTGAGCAGAGTTTAAATGCACACACGTGTCCAACCACTACACAGAGACAGAGACTGAGACATGTTTGTACTGATGTGTTTTAAATCATAATGTTTTAGCCAAAACGCACGTGTTTGGGAAGCACTGAGCATACAACTGGAAAAATGAGACTTGGATTATACTGCATGAGTTGCGTGACGGTTTGTAAACAGATGTTTTGATTTAGTTTTGCTGTTGTTAAATGCAATCCCCTTTTTCTTTAAATCATGAGGAATGTTAACCTTTTTTGGATTCTTCGTTCATTGTGAAGGCTTGCCAGGGAAACAACATTTTATTCATAAATTTAAGGTAAAACAGTGAGTAACTGATGTACAAATGGTCATTTTGTGGGTTAAGTATTCCTTTAAAACAACATCAGGTGTCTATATGAACACTGGCGCAGGTTTTTCTTGCTGCACTCATTCCTTCTATCCATGCTGGCAATTAAGAAACCCCTTCCTAATAAGCTTCCAGCTGAAGGGATGGGGAACAAAATCCACAGACAGTCAATTGGGTATCTCTAAAGTTATTTTCTTTTTAGTACAAAATTGCTGCTTTGTGTTACACTCCCTCCTCTGCAGCTCTACAGGGACACACAGAGATATTGTAAAGAAACTGTGTGTGAATCGGAGACCAGCCTTGGGTCACGGTATCATAGTGTGTGTTGGGTCTTCCCAGGCTATGAACCATCATGATTATCAAAGCTTTTTCATTAAGACTCAGGAACAGCCTTCCAGAGAAGAACAAGCTATCTGAATCAGTATCCTCTTCAAAGTAAAGTTAAAAAACTCACCTTTTAAATCTTTCACATCCTTAATAACTTTAGTGTTAACTACTGTTACTTAATTTGTAAATTATAACGTTGCTATCAATATCTGTCTCCTAATTGCATTTTGTGCAATCTGTTTTTGCCTTTTTCTGCCGGATATTTTTACACTATTGGTCCTTTATTCTTATTCTCTTTCTTCAGTGCCCTGTTGTTAGTTTCAAATGACAAAATTTGTGTTTCAGTATGAAATTTAATCACTACTTTGACCACCCTTACCTCTCCGAATCTACAAAATACTGTCAACATCAAATGTCTCTTTTACCATAATGTTCCCATCCATCCTAACACAGTCACAACATACTAACTACATCATTCAAATAAAATACGCTCCGTAAATGAGCTTTTAATCAAAGTCATAATTTCAATAACAAATAACTCTGTGCTTTTGTGCCCCCTAGCAATTTAAGTAGCAAAATATAGTGTTACATCTCCAATAGCAGCTTTCTCCCTTTAATCATTGTCAATGCAACAGCTGGATGAGTAATGTCTGCTTTTAAATAAAAAACAAACAAAAAAACATGGTAATCTTACAGTGAATAAAACATTTTCCTCACACATCCTCAGTGTCATGTCAGAGAAATAAATACAGTAATTCAAGGAAAAAAAAGACGATGTAAACAAACACAAAGCAAAGCTGTGTTCAGGGGATGCATAGATGCAAAATCAGACAAAACGTTAAAGTTCATATGACTATTAGCTCGTCGTTGCAGGTTGGAGGGAGGGTGAGGGCGTCAGTTGGAATACCTACTTTCCTTCCTATGTTAGCGAAGCAGAGAAACCTGCACTGTATCTGCCATCCCCAGTTTACTGTTTGAAATTCCACACAGTGCCAATGTGGACACATACCCCATATTTATTTAGTTTTCATTACATTTCTTCTCCTTTTTGTTCAAATAAAAATCAACAAATATACAAACGGTTCATAACTCAAGACCTAAAATTTCCTAACGCTTTGTGGAATACATTCAGGAACATTCATGTTGAGTGAAAAAATGAAGCAATAACCAAAAAAAGTGAAAAAAATAAAATAAAAATAAAAACATAAAACATATACACAATAATTATTCATGAAGACTATTCATCGCCATACAGTTATCATATGTTACAACTTATTACTAGTTTCTAGCAGTCCAGACTCCCTTGCAGGGTGATGAGTTATTATAGTTTCTCCTTTGAGGGGATCCAGATATAGGGTCCTGAATGTTCTTCTATGACCTGTTTGCAGTGGTTATAAATGTCCTCTAACGTGTCTCCTTGAACCAGGGCTGCAAAGCAAAGGGAACTCTTTATGTACTGTGGGACTTTGAATAAAACAGGTACACCACATTTAAATCATTACAGTCACACATGCACTTTTTTGAATTATGAAGCCTCACAGCTGTCAAATGTTTAAAGCCCCAGTGTGTACAATCTGAAGATTTCTGGCTTTTAATGACAGAATAAAACTCCCTATGGACTAAGCGGCCACCTCCAGGGCTAAAAACTGAAGCAGTACAGAAGAGCCAAACACTGCAGTGTTCTGAATGACTACTTGAAGCTGGCTCTGAAAGCCAGTCAATCTCCATAAACTTCCATGTTAAAACGACCAGCTTCACAACAGGTTTCAACATGTTCACAGCCTGGTACAGAAACCAGTTTTGCTCTTTATAGCTAATTTACCCCTTTATCTCAACTTAACAGGGGGTGAATTTTTATTCAACTCAGCCATTTACATTTTATTAAGGCTTAAAGTTAAGGGCGGGGTGCTTTGAGTAACATGCTGTCTGTGGATTCTCAGTCAGATCCATCCCTTGCCCCTCCACAGCGTCAGCCTCTCGTCCAAATATGGTCACTTCTGGGTCACGTTGGGTGCATTCCCACCTGTACTTAGAGCTGTCCACTTGTGATATGATCACCAAAGACGCTTGTTAATATCAGGGCCACTTATTATCACCTGGGTTGTCTGAAGTTTGTACAAACAAATCTTCTGCAACTGAAATATGCTATTATCACATACAGACTTGACACATTGGGGCTTCAACATGATCTCATCTTCCCACATAAAATTATCCCACATTTCAATTTGATGGATAAGTGTCATTGAAAGACAGGCAGTGACAAAGTTGGATTTCAGATGCCAAAAGGCAATATGAAGTATCTTCATACTGGACCATTTTAATACAAGTTGAAGAAATGCAGGATCATATCACTTTATAATAACAGAGGCTTTAGCTGACATGTCCAGTATGTCTACATTGCCAATCTGGGAAATTTCCACAATAATGTGGATATTTTTGGCATGTGTGAGCACAACTCTCTCACTCCTTTTGTTCTGTGCTAAGGTGGGAGGAGAGCCTTTAAATCAGCAGTTGTGTTAAATCAAGCACCACACTAGCCATGTGTGCTCATATACTGAGTGAATATAGATGACTTCTCGTGTATTTGTGCTTTTATCAATATCATACCTGTAAAGAATTCCCCAAACTCCTGCTCCAGCTTCATCGCCCTGTCAAACGTTTTCTTGGCTTGTTCCTCTGTCAGTCTCTTATTCATGTCCCTGTACAGGAGCAAAGAACACACAACATCCACAGACATGATTTTGTCTCTGATTTTCATTTAAACTAAAGACAACTATGACAATCCCAGCTGTTATTACTCAGCAATGCTTTTATGTTATTGCATTAAATTGTTGGGCAGGATCAGTGCCTCCTGGTAACACCTGGGCTTGGTGCTCCCAGCCAATAAAAGAGAGGTTCTGCTACTCATGCTGCCTGTCTTAGTCTGCTCCCCCTGTTTCTTATTTGTTCTCCCTCTTCCATCCTGCAGGAGCATTGCCGGCCTTGTGAGGACGGCAGTATTAACTCTGTTTCCCAACTCTGTATCACATCAATGTTTTTAAAGTGACGTAGTATATAAGCTGACTTTGTCATCTAGAGGAGGAGGGGATAGTGGATGGCGTGACACAAGATGCAAACCAAGCAGCAGCCCTCTGAAGGACACTTTTTGAGATCAACAAACAACTTAAGGTGTTGCTTAAGCGACCCGTTGCTAATTTTCTACTGGGAACAGTGGCACGAAAGGCAGTTGTTTTCTACCGAGACATCCATCCAGCACAACTTGTAGAATAATGAATAACTTTATAGTAAGAACAACACATTTCAGTTTGTGGCCTTATCAGAGTCTCTCATATTAGTCATGACCAAAGAACCAGGTTGTGACACAACAAAATTCCAAGTAATATTTTACATCCCCCTATTTATCATATATAAGCAGCATACAGACATTAAATCAATGGTTTATAACATGCTGTAATGTGGTTGTTATGTCGATTTAGGGACATTTTTGTGTAAGTGTTTATTCATGTATGGTATTCGTCAACGATTATAACTTCTTCTAAGGAGGCATATTTACATTATTACAAATGTGTGTTAATATATTGTCATTCATCATCTGTTAATGCAGCAGGATTTACAGTTGTTGAAAAACACAGTGATGAACAAATATCTGCCTACAACTACATTCTAATATGTAATAACCATTTTTTACATGTTTATTTATAAATAATAAATTGGGGAACAAATGAGTGGTTTAAATAAAAAAATATGAAAAGACAAAGTGAATACTCACATTAACGAATCAATAGACTTGGGTTTTATGAAGATGGCAATGGGATAGAGTTGTGCTACTTGTAGTCGTTTGATGGCGTTTCCAGACACATCCAGAATGCAGTGTTTACCCTGAGACAGAGGCAGAAGTTTACAAGAGAGGTACCACTTAAAAAGACAGATTCCAATCTCTCAGGTTATAAAATCAAGGCTGCACAATGCAAGATGTTTTAAATCTTAAAAAAATCCCATAGAGTGTAAATCTAAACAGTGTCCTAAACAGCATCAAGTATGAATGATTGAATAATTTTATTTTTTTTAATGTCATGCCACCTATTGGCCCATCCCCCACGGGATTATATGACACCTTTGCAAAACAAAATAACAATATACATTTCATATTTCATTACATAAGTTAAATTTCCAGTCGTGCTGGTCAAGCATTTGATAACAACAGCAAGAGAAAACCAATTTACAGCAGTACAAAAGTAAAGTTATACATCTACTGATACAATGCTCCCTTTCTCATGTCCCAAGCTTTCTTCAAATGCTTTGCCAGTCCAAATATTTCTTTTTCAAACAGCCAAGTCAGTTGTTGTGAATCATCCGCATTTATCCAATCTACCTTAATCTCTGTATTACTAAACAACTCTTCGCAGATCTTCCAATAAAAAGGACAGTACAAGACAAAATGATACTCATTTTCTACTTCTTTATGGTCACACATTGGGCAGATTCGACTGTCTTCTTCCAACCCTACATACCTCCCGGTTTCAATATTAAGTGGCAAAATGCCTGCTCTAATCTGTGCACAGAGTGATCTTTGTTTCTTTGACAGGTTATACAGAACATAATTTTCAGTGAAGTACTCATATTTTTTCAAGTAAAAGCTCAGTCCAGATAAAGATGTTGGTAGACAAATCCCAGAGCAGCCAGGTTGATAAACATGAGCTGTATAATATACTGGCCTTACACTACAAGAACTGAGGGGTGGTGCAGCTAACATACAGCTCTCATAAACAGGTAAAGAGACTCACCCTTTCAGCCACATATTTCACAGACTGCACACTCGTTCCATACAAATTATCATTGTACTGTCCCGCCTCGATGAACTTGTGCTCTTGGATGTCCTTCTCCATCTGCTCTCTGGACATCACAAAGTGGTAGTCTCGCCCGTCCACCTCGTAGTCCCTCTTCGGCCGAGTGGTATCTGCGCGAGGAGGACAATGAGCTCTTTATAACGAACAAGACCAGTACACACTTGCTACAGTTCCTTTTAAATCTCATTGCCCTGTGTATAATTAAAGCTTTACTCGTGTTGACATTATTGTCAGATTAGTTAGGACACTTTGCTGTAATTACCACAAACAAACGAAACCGTGATGGAGGTGACTGGCAGCCTCTTTCCCACACCACTGATCCTGTGGTTGCCAATGTTCCTTCAAATTAACCCAATATGTGGCAATAAAACCTGCTGCTTTCAACACTAACAGAATGGCAATCAGATTTTGATAAATTGTTTATGGCAGAATCCTCCAAATAACTAGACTAGATCTACTACATCTACTACTACAGAAGTTTTAAGAAATTTCACTAGATATCTTTAAAGGGAAGGGGTCATGATTAATGTTTCTACAAAAGTAGGAAGTGAACAATTATCTGTTTCAAACAAATATATATCACTTCACACTGAGTCACACAAAGAGAAATTCAAAAGGATAAAAGGAGTCTAAGTATTTATAGGGACACATCACTTCAACACTCAGTTTCTAAACAAAGGGATGAAGGGACTCAGTTTATCCACTCACTCACCTTGGTGCCCTGAGCTGTTAGCAGCTTTATATGGTTTGAAAGGTATATTGAAATAAAAGAGATGAGTAAATCAAAACATGCAAAAATCAAAAGCTGAAGAACACATTACATGCACAGAGGAGTGAGGTGTTCTGTTAGGATGAGTCAAAATGGGGTTACATGTATGTACTGGGGTCACACACACACAAACACACATTCATGCAAAAACATAAATCAGAAACAGTAACTTAAGCTGATAATAATCCTTCCATTTCTATCACTAAGACAGTGTGGGCAGTATATGGCTGGTGGGATGAGTGGGTGATGTTGCTGGGCAATTAAACTTAAAACATCACGCTGACTCCACAGCAGACATGATCATGGTCATGACTGATCAGGTTCCAGGTAAACACATCAATAAACACAGACAACAGTTTCACCATTTCTGCTAATTGTCAGTATCACATCGTGTCATGTTACAACTGTAACTACACATGTGATCATGAACAATTCTAGATAAAGTCCTGCTCTGTTTCCATTAACTACTTACGTGGCACACATGACCCAAACTTGTCTGGGAATTCTGATATCAGATCATCATTGATTCTGTCCTTCATCGGCCCCAGGATTATGACTGGTCTGGCATAATTAACTGAAAGAAAAAAAAAACAAACACATTTCTGCATTTCTGTAAAAGACAACACTAAAACAATTGTTTGTTATGCATAGAAGTAACACTTATGGAGGTTTTTCTTGTGTTGTGTGCCGGGGCGCTTTAGTTCCTGTTTGTGTGCAAAGACACATCACAAGATATGTGTATATTCATGTAACAGAAATATGGATAACAAGTGAAAAACAAGCAGCCCTTTTGCCAGAAAAAAAATGTTGGCATTTTACATTTCTGCATACCAAACATATATTAACATTTGCATGTTTTATACATATAATCAACATTTCTGAAGTGATGTAGTGTACAAACTGCCTCTGTCACTGGGAGGTGGAGTGAAGGGTGGATAGCTTGACACCTAGCTGCAGACCACTGCAGGTGACAGTTTAAGTAACTACTGTGTTTTCAGCAACTTTTCAGGCACCATATATGTTTTGGTTTTAGAAAGCCGTTGCTGTTTTTCCAGTGGGGACAGTGTCACATAAAGTGGCAAATTTTTACCAGGACATCGCTGTATTATCTTGCCGGGACAGTGGCATGAAAAGTGAGTATTTTAAGCCAAAACATGATCTTTTCCTAACCGTAACCAAATGCTTTTTGTGCCTAAACCTAACCACATGTCAACTACAGCATTGTTAAAATGTAAAGAGTTTCAGTTTATTTGCTACACAATAACATGCAAATGTAAAATATCTGCAGATTGAAGAAATGTACAATGCCAGCAGTTTTTTTTGGTGACTGGGCTGCAGCAAGAAACGGACAACAATGGACCAAAATCAGTGTCATTCCTGCTGAGTGCGGAACTTCCAATGCAAAGCCACTGTAACATGTTGGTGACTCTCATATAAACTCCTCTCTGAGTGATTTTCTCTGGGTAACAGTGTGCTATTTGATGGCTGGCAACAGTCACTGTGGGTGCTCATTCTAATTCCTAATGTGAGGTTTTGAATCTCAACTAAAGTGGTGTAGTTGCTGGAAAAGCAGGTTATTAAAAGAGAAACACTACGTTTGTCTAACAATGTCAGGGTGTGAGCTACAGGGGAGCCATGGGAGGCTATGCTCCTCTTATAAAAATGATTTGTGAATTTTTTGGGCATACAATACACAACATGCTATTTTTGCCATGTGTTCCTATTTGTTTTTATATCTTCATCATCATGGATCGTGTGTAAATTTAGGCTACTTATTTTGCTCATTTGTGTGCGATAAGTAACTTTAACCGTTGCTGATGAGGACTCGATCCCCTCTAGGTAGTCTGACGTGCTCTGTTTTTGATACAATACTCATATTTTAGTGTGTTTATAGGCTGTTTTACTATTTGACCTACCTGCATTATATTTGTGCTGCGGAACTATAGAATATAGTACATCACTTTACAAAGTGTACTGTGTCCTTGCTTCAGTTGGCCATTTTGTATCATACTGTGATGTTTGGTTTTGACATGCATGTAATCGTTTGATGTGATCAGCTGATTGTTATGTGCTGATATGTTTGAAATATCCAAAAGTACCATACATGTAAGTAGAATACCAGAGTGAAGCTCATTAAAACACTGTGATTCACGTATTATCTTATTTTAATTTTATCATTGTTCAGTACGTGACAACTTACTTTCTTGCCGCATCACAGGTTCATATGAGAGAATCACGTCCTCTTGACTCCCTGGTGGGGCACATTGTGAAAATGTTATTATGTGATTTGGACAAATACTCATTACTGACATAAACAACATGCCACATTTGGCTAAAGGCCACATGCATGGCAGCATAGTCACAGAACATATCACTATCATTTTTGGTCTATCTTACTGATGACATCTATAAAAGTAGACTTCTCTAATCTAGACCTCATGCTCAATAAATGACTCATAGAAAACTGTCATTTCAAATGAACTACAGAATGAACCACATTTTCATTTACTATGAAACATTTATTGATATTTTGACCTCAAGTTTGGTTTCTCCACTTCTGCAGCTTCTCAGTTAGACTCACAAGCCAGTCTTTAGACGCTTTGCTTAACTAAAGAAGGAGGAGATCTCTGATTGTCTGGTGGCGAGACTACTTCTCAGTGGGACAAATTCAGGAGCTCAGGAATCTGAATATGGCAAAGAGCTTAATCGGGACATGAAGATACCTGGCTGGTGATTTTAAACAGCTACCTGATGTTTTTGTAACTTCACTGTACATGCATTTAGCAAATCATTTGAGTTTTTGTTAGATAAGTGCTCTCTCTCTCTCTCTCTCTCTCTCTCTCTCTCTCTCTCTCTCTCAGCTCATTATGTTGTTAAGTGCAGTTAATAATGCTTCAATGAGACATGCTGATATTAGATTACTTAAAATGCACTCATAAGAAGTGTTTTCTCACTCTGCATCAAGTGATAGGTTCAGAAAACACGGTAAAATAAAAAAAGAATCCCTGAAAAGAATTAAACCTCCACAAGAAAATCCTGAAATAACCCTGACTATTGGCTTGGGGCAGGGGTGTAGTGCTGCTGTAGCGCTCCCAGAAAGACAAAGACAGTTTACAAATTCCAGTTAAAATGAATAGACTTTTTTTTTTTTTTTTTTTTTAAATGTTTCAAGATCCAATCATTTATGGAGCATATGTCATGCAAGAGAACCATTAAAAACAAATAGATGGTAAAAGGTCAAATCATTCCACCTTAAAAGTTGCCGGCACAATGAATTAAATTATATCTCCTCAGTTTATAGCTGCTAGCTGTTATCAAGTAAAGCTGAAAATTCAGCAAAATATACTTTAATTTTATAGTTATATTTTACTGATATTAATATTTGTAAACTTCCTGTGGTAGGAACAGTGGTTACATAACCTTTGAAATGGGCCACAACTTAACCTGAGACCTGCTTGCACACTGGTCACATGTGCGCTCTGGTACTCTGGTACAAATAACAAAATAGCACTACACCCCTGGTTAAAGCTGCTTGGTTTCAAGTGATTTTTTCTCAAATCAATATGAAGGTACAGTGGGGGAAATAAGTATTCAACGCATTAACATCTTTTATTGAACATATTTCCAGTGCTAGTCTGGTACGACCATTCTGATGACATGAGCTCAACATTGTGTTTTGCTCTCTGTATCAGTCTGGACTTGGTGCAGCCCCAAACACTTTCCAAAAATTAAAATCCAACCGAGACCAATCAAGGATCCACACTGTGGCTGACAACTTAAGCAGCTGATCAGGGGCTGCGTTGTAGCAGATGACATAAAATGTAGGCTGCAGCTTGCAGAACAGTAATGGCGGTTCCCAAAGCATACGTGTAGTGAAACAGGATGTTGAGCCCATGTAGGATGGCTTTAGTATACTATTTCCATGCAGCTATTCACATGGAATTTACATCATATATTAATATCAATTCAATTAAACTATACAGATAAAGAAGCCAAAACATTCCATCCATAAAGAAGTTACATGACATAAGGGGGAGTGACACAGGGAAAAAGGATTTAACAGGCTAACTGAAATGTATTTAGTAATTGCTGGAGAAGATTTTGTTTGCAGTGCCAGCTTTTAAGATGCATCCTGTATGAAGAAACTGTCTGAATGGGATTTTGGTCCATCCCTCCACACAGACAGTCTCTGAAGCTAGAAGATTCAGGGGCCTGCTGGTAAATCTTGGTCTTCATCTACTTCTGCAAATGTTCTATTATGTTTAAGTCTGGTGATTAAATACATGTCAGTTGGGTGTGTTCAATACTTTTGTCCTGTCTTATTCCACTTTATTGCACATTAGTGGATTGTGATGTTATGATTTCTTTATTTGTATAATTTTATTTAGTTAATATCAATGTCTGTTGTAAATCTCTCGCCAATAGCTGCATTGGAAATGTTAAAATAAAAAAAAAATGTTGACACGTTGAATACTTATTTCCCCCACTGTATATAACCTACTCCAAAAGTAAATAACACATGACAAAATACCTCAGTAAACAAAGAGATGTAATTGTGACACAATTCTGCATCAAACACACATGCTCACAAGTTAAGACAGAAACACTTCAGTTGTTTATGCCAGTGTCATGCAAAACATGCATTAATATTATGAATATTTAATGCAGGGCATTGCTAAGGGTGCAATTATTAAAATAAAAAAAAAAAAAAGTGAAGTCTGTTCAGCATGCAGACAGAAGTTCGGGAGGCTCCAGTGCACAAGCATCACTCTGGTGGCTTATTAGTGAGAAAACCCTGCAGATAGCCTGTAGTGTTTGGAATCATGCCACTGTCATATTTAAAAGTGTATAAATGGACATGAATTAATACTATACACCACTGAAAATAACAAAAACAGACTGGTTGATATTATACTAAAGTTAATCATAATAATATAACAAATCTTATCCTCTGCCAACTAAATAAAATTAATGTCGGAAGATCAATCCTGGTAAACAAAAATAAATAAATACATACAATTAAAAAACTTTTTTTTGGTGACAAGCTACTTTGACTTGGCAAGTGGTGCTTTTATTATAAAACCTTGAGTTTAGTGAACCTGCTTTATTCTTGTGACAGCTCTCAAACTGAGAAGCAAGACAAATCCAACAAATGCAGCATGCAACAGTGCAGGAAAGAGAGACACGTTCAGACAGGAAACGTGAGGAGCAGGTTGTTGCTGTTGGGGGGGGGAGGGGGGGTGTCGTGGTAAACAGAGATGAGGAATCATTCCTGTACCAACTTACTGAATGTCTTTGTCCCATACCCATCATCACCTAGCCCAAGGATGTCCTATTGGCCGTCCAAAGAGAGCCAGAACAGAAGAAAGAGAGGAAGGAGGACAGCCGCAACATAAGCAAAAGGTTGGAGGCAGTGAGAGGAGGGAGCTGTAGAGCCACAGATTTGTCTCTGTCCAGACACTACACAGCCAGCAGGGGGAGCCAGATACAACGTGATAACACCAAGGCTGGTTGAGACTGAACCTAAATTATCTCTGAAGGGAAACTGGGTCGTACAATATCACCATATGGGGACATGTCACACGAAAATGAACAGCATTGAGATTGCTTCTCTCCTGCTGACTGATCAGCATCTGAGCCAGAATGAGACAGAAAGAGAAAGAAAACAAAGACGACAGGAAATGAAGGAAAGGCCTCCGTAATAACCCTGAGACACACCCGTGTGTCCCCTGTCAGCCCTACATGTGACCTGCACTGACTCTCTGCATAGAAGCACATGTGTGTCTGTGAGCTTACTTACGGTCTGAATCACTGCCATCCTGCTCACCCTCTTTGTTCTTGTAGAATGGGAACTTTCGTGTAAAGATGAAATTCTTTTTACGTTTGTCATTGAATGACTGTGAAGGGAGAGAAAGCATGGAGCAAACAGGTATATCTGTCACGATCATGCAGACAAAACAACTGCTTGCACAAAGTAGGACGTCAAGAAGTTCATACAGTGAAAACTGAAAATCTGTTTCTCCCAGACCACAGACTCATTTTGTTTTTACACGACTATAATAGCTAATAAAATGCACACTTTTGATTGAAGTAGGTTACAATTAGTTAAGATCCTCATTAAAATTTTGCCGTGTTTTATTCCCTTTTTACCACTTCCAAAATAAATTTTAAGCTCAAATGACAAATAATTAAAAGTAATTAAAAATTAAAAGCAATTTTGATATTAACTGATCATTTAATTAGGCATAAAAGGCAAACACGCTGGTTTTCAGTCACTATAATTTGAGGATTTGCTGCTTTTCTCTGTTTTATATGATTGTGAGTTTAATAATTTTGGGTTTTGGAGTGTTGTTCTGACAAAAGGAGACAATGTGAAGTGTGATGGGAATTTTTAAAACTTTTTTTTACTGTTTTCTGACGTGTCATAAACTGATCAAGTCAAATAAATGAATCAATAGAAACATGTATGAGATTATAATGAAAGATTAATCAAAAGTAAATATAATCATTAGATTAGGGCTGTGCCACAGAGAGAAAATCAAATATCATAATATTTTTATGCAAACCCCTCTACATTAATATTGTAGCAATATTATAGTGTTGACTATGGGTGCTTTCACAGAATTTTTGCACAATGATTAATACATTTTGATAAAGAAATCATCAGTAATTTGAATTTAATAACTATGTGGGTAAAAGCAAATAATAGAACAGTCTGGTAAGTTCAGAAAATTACATAATTTTACTGTACTGCAGCCTTAACCAGGAAAAGACAACACTTATGATATTATGAGATCAAAAATCTAAGACGATATCTAGTCTTTATCGCAATATCTCTGAAATTCAATATATTGCCTAGCCTTATGATTCCTAAATAATTTAATATGTACAATCTGAATAAATTCTGTGTTGGTACTAAATGGTTTGATTGAACAGCAGTTTCACTTCCCTCCACCAGCAAAGATTGATTTGATATACAGTACAGGCCAAAAGTTTGGACACACCTTCTCATTCAATGCGTTTTCTTTATTTTCATGACTATTTACATTGTAGATTCTCACTGAAGGCATCAAAACTATGAATGAACACATGTGGAGTTATGTACTTAACAAAAAAAGGTGAAATAACTGAAAACATGTTTTATATTCTAGTTTCTTCAAAATAGCCACCCTTTGCTCTGATTACTGCTTTGCACACTCTTGGCATTCTCTCCATGAGCTTCAAGAGGTAGTCACCTGAAATGGTTTTCCAACAGTCTTGAAGGAGTTCCCAGAGGTGTTTAGCACTTGTTGGCCCCTTTGCCTTCACTCTGCGGTCCAGCTCACCCCAAACCATCTCGACTGGGTTCAGTTCCGGTGACTGTGGAGGCCAGGTCATCTGCCGCAGCACTCCATCACTCTCCTTCTTGGTCAAATAGCCCTTACACAGCCTGGAGGTGTGTTTGGGGTCATTGTCCTGTTGAAAAATAAATGATCGTCCAACTAAACGCAAACCGGATGGGATGGCATGTCACTGCAGGATGCTGTGGTAGCCATGCTGGTTCAGTGTGCCTTCAATTTTGAATAAATCCCCAACAGTGTCACCACACCCCACACCATCACACCTCCTCCTCCATGCTTCACAGTGGGAACCAGGCATGTGGAATCCATCCGTTCACCTTTTCTGCGTCTCACAAAGACACGGCGGTTGGAACCAAAGATCTCAAATTTGGACTCATCAGACCAAAGCACAGATTTCCACTGGTCTAATGTCCATTCCTTGTGTTTCATGGCCCAAACAAATCTCTTCTGCTTGTTGCCTCTCCTTAGCAGTGGTTTCCTAGCAGCTATTTGACCATGAAGGCCTGATTTGCGCAGTCTCCTCTTAACAGTTGTTCTAGAGATGGGTCTGCTGCTAGAACTCTGTGTGGCATTCATCTGGTCTCTGATCTGAGCTGCTGTTAACTTGCCATTTCTGAGGCTGGTGACTCGGATGAACTTATCCTCAGAAGCAGAGGTGACTCTTGGTCTTCCTTTCCTGGGTCGGTCCTCATGTGTGCCAGTTTGGTTGTAGCGCTTGATGGTTTTTGCGACTCCACTTGGGGACACATTTAAAGTTTTTGCAATTTTCCGGACTGACTGACCTTCATTTCTTAAAGTAATGATGGCCACTCGTTTTTCTTTAGTTAGCTGATTGGTTCTTGCCATAATATGAATTTTAACAGTTGTCCAATAGGGCTGTCGGCTGTGTATTAACCTGACTTCTGCACAACACAACTGATGGTCCCAACCCCATTGATAAAGCAAGAAATTCCACTAATTAACCCTGATAAGGCACACCTGTGAAGTGGAAACCATTTCAGGTGACTACCTCTTGAAGCTCATGGAGAGAATGCCAAGAGTGTGCAAAGCAGTAATCAGAGCAAAGGGTGGCTATTTTGAAGAAACTAGAATATAAAACATGTTTTCAGTTATTTCACCTTTTTTTGTTAAGTACATAACTCCACATGTGTTCATTCATAGTTTTGATGCCTTCAGTGAGAATCTACAATGTAAATAGTCATGAAAATAAAGAAAACGCATTGAATGAGAAGGTGTGTCCAAACTTTTGGCCTGTACTGTATATATATTTTTATGTTGTTCATATAATTTTGTGATTTCAAGGTAGCTAATTTTGGTAGCTATTAAAATAATAATATAAATGTACCTTTTCATTTACATTCATTATCACATAAAGATCCAAAGCCTATTTACCAAGGCTGTGTTTCAAAGTAAATGCTATTCGAGTGTGAGTAATTTTGGAAATCTTTTTGCACAACGATAACAAATTTGAAATCAGGTTTCAATATTTGTCTTAACAGAGTTGTTTTAATTATGCCTATTCATTCAGCCATTATGACGAGCTAATTGTGGGAAGTCAGATAATCTTTTTATTTCCTAATTGGGATTTGACCAAACTCATTTTTTGCAAGGGTGTTTTAGACCAAATTTCTGTACGTGTATTTAAGATTTCTTCTGTTTTTCATTCAATTAAATACAATATATTTTTGAACGTAGGTGATGTAGACTGATATATGGGATGATGAATTTGATATAATGTTTTTTAAATTAAGTTGTTGTAGTGATATGTTGATATGTTAGAGTATCACCTTTGCATTACTGTTTATTCACTATTTATCTTTTTCTATGTATTTTATTAAATTGTTTGACCACCCTGACTGGTTTAGTTGGTTGCGCAGAGTCAACCACACCGGCCATTATAGAACTTGTCAGTCCATTGGTGTGCATTATGTATAAATATCAGTGCAGTTCTAAACTTGTAAACATTTTGACCTGATGAAGATCAAAGTAGGATTAAAAAATATTGTCCTGGTTACACTTCTGTGTCATGGAATAAGTGTGCAGGCATTATTTTTTACTTTCAAATCAGTTAAACTCTCAGTTCAGCATTATATGATTAGTATAACAATTTTGTCTGAGTTTGTCTAACTTTACAAATAAGGTTGTGATTTCTGTATAGAGCCCCATCATCTACAACCAGAGATAAATGTCTTCATTCTGTCCATCTGGGGAAATAATACTGTAGCTCCCTGTACTTCTTGATGTGCCACAGTTGCATCAGAGGCATTTAAAGTAAAAGCAAGGTGAGAAAAGAGTTACTGAAATCATGCCATGAGAAAAGTAACATAACTGAGGTTTAGTCATAGAAACTTAAGCACACAAAAGAAGCACATGCAGTGATGGAAAGAAAAGGTGGAACTCAAGAGGATGAGGTTTCAAATCATGAATATGCTGTCCATATCATCATTTGAAGACAAAATGCTGCTGATGATGCGTAATATTCGCACAGCTACAGTTTTGAGGGTTCCATGTGTGGTCAGGCTCCAGTGTAGTAACTTCAGACATTTCCTCCTAAAGTTCATGTTTGTTACCTATTAGAAAACTCGATATATAGTCGCTACAATGTGAAGGGGAAAACTCAACACCTGCTGCGGTGGTTTAAGCTCAAAAGCTGGTAAAACATACTGACATTTTTAATATAGTTATATATAAATGAAAATAAGTGTCCAAAGTTAACCTTTAACATAAACTCACAAGTAAAAATTCACTGGAGCTGAAAATCTGACAACTGGAAGGTGGAAGGCAATGGCAGAAAATTCAAACATGTTAAAAAAAAGGCACCAAGTCATGTAATGGTAATTAATAAGCATAAATTAACACTAGAAAGAGGAACTGGTGATTTTGTCAATGGGTGATTTTTACAAATGTGATTTCTTTGATGTAAGTGTAAATGAAAAAACACACACAAGATGAAATGGACATCAAACTGCAGTGAGAAAAACATCTGACATGGAAGCCATACAGTCACTGTGAAGATTCAAGATGAACCTCTTCTTATACACAAGAAGTTATATCTGAGTGACACTATGACTCATCATTTCAATGTGCTAATATAAATTGCCACTTAGCAGCTCTCATAAAGGTACTCACCCCTTTTGAATCAAATGACCCTGGCTTGGCATTGAATTTCACAGTCTTTAGACGCGCTCGCTCTTTCCTTTCCACCCTGCCAAGCAAAAAGCCGTGTCATTCATTAACCACAGAGATGTAATGAAATTACTCATGCTGACACTACGCTGACCTATGAAACGTTCTGGCAGCTCTGTGTGAGGACAAGTCTCAAGAACTCATACTCTGAGAGTCTTAAGATTTCTTCTCTCTTCAGCCATTGCTGCATAGAATAGCAATATGATGCCAGTGAGCTGATGTCTACTATGTGCTTGTATTAAATATGTGTTTGCCTGTGTCCACTGGGTTTACCTTAAAGGGGGATAGGCAGTTTAATTTTGTTGTAATTGGGCAAAAATTCCATACAACACTTTGGGCATATTGTAATATAAATGGACTGAGACAAAACTAAACTTCTGCACCTCCTCTTGGCTCTGTTTTCAGGCTTTAGAAATCTAGGCCATGTTGGGAGTCTCTAGCCAATCACAGGTCATTTGTGTGCTTTTCCTTTCGGTGAAAGCCTGATTTAATAGTGGAGAATCCTGCAGAGAAGGTTGCCATTACAGAATTGGCAACAGCTGCTTACACTGCAAAGTAACCCCAAAAAAAAGGCAGACTTCGATAAACGAAACAAAGCACGAGTCAATATGGGTGAAGCGTTTCAGAGATACAAAGAAAATGTTGCTAATAGTTTAGCCTTCTACTAACTACAGCCAAAGGCTCACAACTGTGTCTTCAAGTCCATGTTTATGTAGTTAACGTTAGCTTGAGCCTCGAATCAGCCAGCGCAAACCCCAGCTCCAGGGATCTGGACAGCCTTGAGCAAACTTTCTGTTGCTGCTGTTACACACAAGCCAATTAGATCCAGCTTTGCCATTGGTCACCAGGCCACTGTGACACCCAGTGCTGGGCAAATTTGAGCCACCACAGCCGCCAACTGAAGGTCTGTCTCAAGAGCGGTTGCCTGCTCTCGTCTCCATGAAGCAGTCCACAGGTGGCAGTGAGCAAGGCGGAGGGACTGTGAGGTGGCTAGCTAGCTAATTCCTGTCTCATTTGTGGTCTGATAAACAGAGAGAGCTCTACAATGAAATAAGATTTAATAAATCAATGTATGTGGAAACACTGGGTTACTGTATGAAACGCGTGCATGTGTCTTTGGTTGTTTGATGGGAGGGGCTTAGGACAGAGGGGTGAGCTGCAGGAGGAAGGTGTATTTTCAAATTCTGCCCTTTTATTTTTTTGCATTTAACAGATTTCGCTTACCTCAGCTTTAACACAGGTGTGTGAAATTAGACTGCTTATTGATTTGGGATCATTGTGTAACAGGACAGCCTGATGATAACAAGTGTGCTGATATGTGTTGGTGTATTCTTTTAATGTAACAGCTCATATTTAGTTTCTGGAATTGAATTTCTTATGCCACACTCTAGCAATGGATGAGAGCATACTTTTTCTGTTTTAAAAATCATTATTTTTTTCCCTCCAGGAGCACCAGTGGGTGTAGACGACAATAGACACTCTCTTGTTGTCATTCATGTTGTCAGAACATATTTTCTTTGTTTTAAAAGATATTCCCTTCATTTCAATCACAGAGAGACTGTCACTTCACTGACTGACGACTGTTCCTCTTTTAGGAGAATCAATATTCTTTTCACAAATCATCGACGGGCTTCTAGAGTCTCTGAAACCACAGACTGATTTCTGTCCACTGCTCACCGTCTCTTGCTGGGGATGACACCCATTTCTTCACTGTCCCCGTGTGGGGTGACACGGCGGGCCTGCCACCACTCATCATCTGAGGCGTTGATGACGTGGAGGATGTCGCCATACCTGAAGCTGAGCCCTTGGCTGGGGAGGCCACTATCCTTTGACTTTTCATAGTCAAACAGTGCCCTGTTCAGTGAACGACATCAGGATTATCAGGATTAGTATTGAAAATGCACAGTTCCTATTTTTTCACTGTCATTCCTACATGTGATGTCTTTTCTAATTCAGTAGTAAGAAACTAGAAGCACAGTTTTACCAGGTCAGAGAGAATAGTGACTGTTGGTCCATGGGGGGCTGCTATAATAAAAAATGATCTTCTGTTTTAAGCACAGATCTCAATTCTAGTTTTAACATATATGTGTGTGTGCATGTGTTATCAGTCCACACCCTGTCACATCTTTCAGTCGCTGTATTAAAATAAAACAACACAACCTTTTAAGAAGACGATATTCATATAATTTTTTTATCATGTTGCCTGAAATATATCTGCGCAGACATCACATGGAAGAAATCTGGGGCATGGAATGGACAGTGTCTTTTCTGAGGTTAGCTTAAACATCCAAAACTAGGGTGAAATCCTAAAAAGACCAACCTCACATAGAGCGATCTCTTTTGATTGGTTCGCAGGGATCCCGACCCAGAGCTCATGCTGTGGTTCATCATCTGTTCCCGCAGGTCATGGATTTTGGCCTCAAAACGCCCGTACTCTGCAAGACAAGATTAGAATGGATCAGGACTGACAGCCAGGTCAGAACACAGGCTTCAGTACATTCTGGGAAAGAGGAGATTTGATTTTTTTTTTTTTTTTATTATTCTCAGTACAGTCAAATTAGTGGAGATCAAGATAAAGGGTAGAGGTTTGCGTAATGGAAATTTATAATCAAAAAGGGGCTATTAAATATCATTTTTATTGTGAGCTTTGCACTGGATGCACATTTCCATTATTACATGGATACATAGATTAGATATACAAAGAGATGTACGTATATTAATAGTCAGTAGAGTTCAGCACTGAGTTTTTGCTATTTTTTACACTTAGACCCTTTAGAATAATATGTTCTGAGTTGGTGACATGTAATTTGCTACCAATTTGTCATTGATAGTTGTTCTACTAAAGCAGTTTCAGTCTATATTTATGTTCTGTGTGGTCTTAACAGGAGTCAGTGTATTTACCGTGGCCTACATCTAATCATTGAGAAATACATGCCAAACTATATGTAATGACCAACTTTTTGCCATTCATGTGTAATAATCATTTTCAGCCTTGCAAGTGACTGCAAACAAAACTTGACTATGAAATAAATTGTTATTTTAAAATTACTAATTTTACTTTAATACATTAGAGGAATTATTCATAAGAGAACAGATGTAAGACATTTTCAGATTTCTAAAGGCAATCCTTTGTGTTGTATTACAGACATCTACCATTAAACTGAGAATACACAAGCCCCCGCACATAATTCATTCCCAGGATTTCCACTCAGTGATGTCTGAAGCCATGAACTGAGTTGCTCCCAGCAAAGTAAAAGTGGATGTCAGGATGTGGAAACCTGTCACGCCGTTGACGAGTATGCTTTACCCGACAGTGCGGTTACTATGAGGATGAAAAAGCTGATAACTTGAGGCATGGCTGGCTAATCTGTCACTTAAAAAGATCAACCAGTAAAGAGACGTGACATGTTCTTTCATGACACAGACAACCACTGACGGTACAACCTGTATTTTAGTATTAATCAGTGAGAAATAATAGGAGAGATAGACTGTAAATACAGCTAAAATGTGTTGTGATTTCATTTTATTTTTCAGTATTTTCTAAGAAAACCCACTACAACAGTCTACAGGCTGCCACACTTGCATCAAACTCTTCCATGCTTTCTCTGACACTGCTGCACTCCCTGACCATCCCATGAGTTAGGCTACTAAAGAAATAACAAGGTTAAGCCTGTACATGAGAGCAAAGGAAACTGAAATGAGGAGATCCCCTTTCATACTTGATAATCCTCAACAACAAAATGCAAAATCACAATCCAATATTAGAAACTGAAATTTCTACACTATTTACTCTAAAGTGATCTTCCTCTTGTTTTTTATGCCCATCTTACCCTGAAATAGTTCTCACATACCTGTCTGCATGTTCACTTCGATGTTAAATCCTCTACTGCTGGCGTCTCTTTCCTATATTGTGCTCCCCTGGTGCTCCTCCTGTCTGTTCTCTACAAACAGTCCAATTCTGTGACTCTGCTGAGTGCAGCACTAAGTACAGAAAGGATAAAACCTCTCTCTCTCTCTCCTGTGGCTGCTCATAAGCAGTGCAGGGGCGGAGACAAGTGCGGACGTACTAAACAGGATGACTTGTTTGCTGTGTATGCTTGTTGGCTTATCAGTTGTTACGTATATCTGATTATGCATAGATTATTATATCATTATTCTGGAGCTGTAGACACATCTGCAACTGGACTTTGTGACCAGCAGACCTCTGTCTATTAGATTAGACAACTGAACCTCCTCAACTCACACCCTAAACTCTGGCATCCCACAGGGCAGTGTGCTGAGTCCTCTTCTCTTCTCAACAGTGGTTGGCCTCATCACCAACAACGACTCAGCTTACAAGGAAGAAGTCCAGCACCTGGCAGCTCAGTGAGGTGACTAACGTGGCCCTCAACACCAACAAGACCAAGGAGCTCATTGTGGACTTCAAGAAGACCAAAGGTTGCACACACACTCCCACCTGAATTAACAGGATGAAGATTAAGCATGTCAGCAGTTTTTAGTTTCTGGGTGTCCACACGAGAACCTCTCATGGACCCTCAACGCTTCAACCCTAGTCATGAGGGGTCACCAGCATCTCTTCTTCTTAAGGAAACAGATGGACTTCTTCTGTTCTGGAGAACTTCTCCTGCTGCACTATCAACAGCATTGACTACTTCACAGTATGGTATGGCAACTGCTCTGTCTTGGATCTGAAAGTAACTGCTGGAAACTGCTCAGTGAATCATTTCCTGCTATTGAGGCTGTCCAGCTAAAGTGGTGTCTGCAGAGTGCGCGCAGCATCTTCAGGAACACCTCTGACCCCAGCCAAAGACTGTCTGCCCTCCAGCTTTTTTCCCCTCAGTTGTCACCGATCTAAACTCTGGTGCCTCGGTGACAGCAATGCTAAACTGCATTTCATTGTCTCAGTACCTGGACTCTGTGCAATGACAACAAAGTTAAATCTATTCTAATCGAATGTAATTTAAAATATGGAGGAGGATTGGAGTGTTTTGGCTGAAGCTACTTTAGTCTGACCTTCACACACACACACCCAGGCATGCATGCACACACACACGCATCCCAAGAGTGAATAATATGTGTGTGTTTGTGTGAATAACAAAAGTGGGGAAAGAAACCATATGGCAACCTCTAATCCTACAAATTCTATTAAAATATTGAACTAAACTCATCATCATAATCTTATTTTCCTTTGGCTCATCCAGCATGTATCTAAGGAACTGCACAAATTCTGTTGCCAATTGTTAATGAAGGCTGAACTCATATCCTTGGACATACAACATCTGCTTTAGCTCTTTTAAGAAAGCTTATATGTTAGTTACACTGCAAATCTTTTAACATGCCATTGTGTTTGTAGGAATCTTTTGTTAAAAATTAGTGAATAATCAGAATCACCAGCTTTGTGTCAAAGCTTGTCATCACCATGCTGGTCTTGTTTTGTAATAGTGACCATTGTACACCATCTTCCGAACAATTTATGTGTCTACTCACTAAAGACAATGACCTATGTGTGATAAATCAATTAAGAAACATGACTTGCTCCTTTCAAGCATCTGTACTTTATGAATTTGCAAACTCTCGAGAGGACAATGGGTGTGATATCAGCATCCTAGCACCCATAAGCCTCTGCCTGCTCCTTCCTGTGTTTTTGAGGACACAATGCTCTGCCTACAAAACTGTAGACTACATTTCAAATGAAAATACAGCAACCTGCTAACAATTACCGCTTGTAAAGCATAACATTATGTTAAGCTTTACAAAGGTGGAAATATTGCACATTAAACCATTTTAGTTAATATTTACCCCCAGTACTATACAGGAGGTATAATCCAGACTGCCAATAGTATAGTTTTGGATTTATTTGTTGAGGTCATGAGATGCTGACTACTGATCGCTCTGCCTTCACCCCAACAGAATGAAGGTAAATTTGATTTTTTTGGTTCACATCAATGACAGCTTACATTTGTTAAAAAATAAACAGTAATGCCTCTTTCCAGAGACTGGTTACTCTGGATGACTGTGGACAGTTATTATTACCTATTTCTGTTCGAAAAGGGCTCCCAATAAAGTCGACTGACAGCTGAACATTAAAACAAAGGTATTCAATGAAATAAAATATATACTTTATGGAGCTATTAGACTGAGCTGCAATAGATGAGTAACTGTCTCTGCATTTACTTGTAATAACAGGCTATATTTTAAAAGAGCACATCATTTAATAACATTTTCAAAGGGGAGGAAAATAGGACACTGTTTGAAGGGTCACGACCCGGGAGCACAAGAACAAAAGGTAAAGTCAGGAGGGTTTAAACAGTGCATGTGCAGTGGGGGAGTGAAAGTCAAAACAGGCTGGGAGAGGAAAGGATTAGGTGTGCGTCAGTGGGGCAAACGCTCGGTGAAGAGGAGTGAACAGACTGTCTTTGATCACATTCACTCAGTGACTCTCACTGATGAGTGATGCTAAAGCTCAGAGCAGCCACAGGTGCCAATGGCACAAACCTGGTGCAGGAGAGCGGGCCCGTCGCGGTGAGCATAGAGCAAGTTCTGATGGGTAAGAAGAGAAAGCAGTTGTTAGATGCAGAGGGGTTTAGAGCTAGGTCAGTCAGTTGTAAGAGGTCACCTCAGAGGGGAATAAAGCAAGAAGCTGAATAAGTTGGGAGTTTTGATGAAACTGATTTCTGAGTCCTCCCTAAATTAAAACTCTTGATTAGAGAGCCTCAGACTGAACTAGATGCCAAGTCATATAGATTCTCTTCTGATCTTTGCTTCATGACTTAGGAGTCTCCTATGAGACCGAACAAAGTCAGTCTGAGCTTCTGGGATGTAACATTTTTGTCAGCCCTCAAGAACTTTTTTGTTTATTTGTTTTTAATAACACATCATGTTTGAGAAGCAAAAGCACTCTAACACCAAAACCAGTCTCTTGAGGCAGTTGTTGCCAAAAGTCTAACTGATGTTTTAAGCATAAATCAAGTAATGTATAAAGAGACCATGACTCCACAGATTACGCTTTTGACTTGAATGTTTTAGATGAATGTTTAAGATGGGAGAGAAAAGAACCTTGATGTAGATATTTTTGAGACAAACACCCACCACTGCTCTTGGTATAACGGTCTGGATGGTTTGTGAGTCTGGCACCTCTGAGACATTGAGGGATCTCTGACCATGAGTCACTGCCTCTACAGCCCTCCAGTAGATACTGCTTCTGTTGACCTTAATCAGAGGAGGCATGTCACCAGTCAAAGCTGTCTGATCCACTACATGTTAACTTACAGTAGGTTGGCAGACAGTCTGGTACACTTGAATCAGCATGAACATGCCCCGCATGGTATCACAATCTACATACTAATGCTACAGGACAAAGGAATTAAAACAAATTTTGTTTGTTGAATCAGATCATATCATTATTACCTTTTCGAAACTCTTTTCAGAAACTTCCAGTGATTCAACATTTCTTGTCTTTACACTTAAAAAAAACTCTCTAAGACCGTGGACCAGAAAGTTTCAATGTATGCATCATTTAAAGATAAAAATAGTAAAATTATGTAATGGTCACTAAACTGTAAACTCATTAAAAGCTGCTTCCTGTCGCCACCCATTCAATAAATTAGGGAAATGCACATCACTTTATGAAAAACAGCTGATGGACACTTTCACTGAGACTCATGGAGCACTTATTCTGAAGGTGAAACTTAACAGAAAAACTTCAGTTAAAGGGCCAAATAGACTCAAATCTCATTTATTGGAGAGCCATAAAAGAGTCCATGCAGAGATACAACCTTATGATTTATCCCTGCAGTCATGTGTGGTGTAATGAGCAGACAAAAGAAACCTTGGGATTTGAAAATGTCAAACCAAACATGAAATGAGAAGTGACCTTGCATTGGTTCCCAGTTTCAGTTATACGCTGGTACAACTGTCTGCTTAGCATCAAACTTGACAACCAGTGAAGATCTTTCCTGCTCTGATCTGCTCAGCAGGAAATTTTCTCATGCTACCTAATTCCCACTTCCACAGCTGAGATGCAGGTTGGTGAAGCTGCCACAACATGGAGGCAGAGCGCCTGTCTTTGAAACACAGCCTCTTATTAATATGTTTAATATATAAATTAATGACAAGACTCAAAAATAAAGGGCCCTATCTTACACCTGGCACAAAACAATGCACAGCACAGCTATCATTGCTAGATTCAGACCAACGTAGTTGTCCCTTAAACGGCCAATGCCCACGTTGTTTAGGTAGCAAATGTACTTTAGCCAGCTATGCGCCTCGGTTTAAAATGAGGTGTGGTCAGGAACATTGTTGGTGTATTGCTATATTAAGGCTGCAGAAATCTACTGCATAAGCAGCATAAATTCATTGATTATTTCCAAAGCTCAAAGTTTAGTTCTGTTTCCTGTCAAGTTTCTAACAACAATTTTTAGTTTTGCTGTTTAAATGTACCACAACATTTACTGCAGTGACATTACTGCTCTCACTGCATTACTCTCAGCAGAAAACCACTTGCTACTCCAATTTGCCAAATCCACCATGTAAATAGCAATACACCAGGAGTATGCGCATCTGGCTTGTAAAGGGAATAGGAGATTGCACTTTGATTGGTTGAATGAAAAAAACACTTATGATTAATTAAGAGACTATATACAACCACTTTGCTCCTTGCACCTTACTTTGTGCCCAGATTATGCACCGTTTAACTGGCATAAGTGCTTGGACACGCCCTAAATGCACTTGTGCCATGCACTTAGGCCATACGCTATAAACTGTTTAAATAGGGCCCAAAATCCATATGAAGGACAGTTTTTCTGCAAGTTTGTAGTATGTAGAAATCACAATATTCTTGTCTTTTGTCCAATATCTGTGTGGGCTGTTTCCACTAAATATAGTGTGGTCAGTTTTGTCATTTTGTCCTCAATCAAAACCACATTTTTGTTTTTAATTCTTCTGACACCATCTTCACCACATGTGAAAAGAGAATTATGCGTGAGGCTTCTATTGTGACTGTTCAACAGAGCTTTGAACATGAGGAGGTATAAAGAAGTGATGATGAGTGAATAAAGTTAGTGATGAAACATAAGGTGAGCCATCACTTGGTCTGATTAGAGCCAAGTAACTCAGTGGGTAGGGGGGACCTACTTAAGCATTGTCCTATGCATGTTTGTGCGGTAAAACAGGACATTAACACCACAGGCAACTTGTTTGTGCTGACTCACCTTCTGGTCTGTACTGGGCAATGATGGTGACCACCTGGCCAGCTCCTTTCAGTGCTGCTGCTGCTTGTTCATGTGTGGCTCCTCGCAGGTCAATACCATTTACCTGTTTAAACAACACAGAAAAGTCACAGGATTATTTGGGCCAAAATCCTGTTTTATAGGACACAGTGCAGAAACTTTCAACACCAGTGCAAATACACGATATCGTTACAATGATACCACACTATAGGTACATATTTCTTTCTTTTTTTTTAAATTTAAATTTTTGTTTTTAATTCAATATCATATGTATAGAAGGGTTTATGTGCAAAGCTGAAATCTGGCCAAATGCCCATGGTTGAGGTGCAGTGAATGGAGGTTACAAATTTTAAATCAAGGGGCATCTTGTGGGGAAGATTTCTTTATTTACATTATCTATTATGATCTTAAATGCAAGTCAGTGTTGTAGATCTCTTTCCCACGGTTTGTCTCTTATTTTTGCTGACCAAAGAGTGCATGCTTGTAGCAGGTGTTCAACTTCCTCACATTATTAGAGAACCGGCTGCTGAAACCAGCTCCAGACAAACAGCCCCAAGTGTAAGTGCAAATGGAGCCACACTGGATGTGAACACATTGTGTGCAGAGATAAAAGAGTGTATGGTCAACAGGTGAGGAGGAAGTTAATGTCAGACTTCAAACCAGGCCACTGCTGGAATATTAACTGCTTTCATCAAGACAGGCTGATTGGACACACATTACCAGTCAGATGGTGCCACGTTGATTTAACAGTCTGCAGGCTATATAATACCATAACACTACAATGCAAAGAGACAGCGTAATCTGTTGCACAGTGTGGGAGGCAAACTATTACAATTAACTACAATGAGGCAGAACAATCACTTCCTCCCAGCTACTGCCCACTGTGCAGTCTGCTCATCATCACAGTCAGTTCATACAACCTCATACATACATTCATTTTTATTGTGTGTGTGTGTGTGTGTTATGCCGCAGTCATGAATACTGTAAATACCTAATTTTGTAAACCAATAGTAGATGCTGATTAAATCAAGCGATTGTTATGTCACAATGTCAAAACATGAAAGTTTTGTTGCTCACAAAGGCAATTTAAGTGTATGTGCCACCTCACCAGATCACCACATCTTTTTATAGATGACATTGTTACATTGGTCACAAGTATGATAATGTATGGAATTCAAAAATATCTGGACTTTATCACACACTTCATTCAGAATACTGTGTGTTTGGTTAGTTAACATTGCAGAGACACTTGGAAAGTATCATTTTAGGTTGATGCTCCTTTGATTAGTCTTTGGTGGTCTGAATCTGTGTGCAGGCAATTGCAGCTCTTCATCATTTTTGAAAAAAGAATTTTTTTCAGCCCTTGAATGCACAACAGTAAATGCTGATGGCGTTATGGTTGTGATTCAGGAGTCCGTTGCAACTTCTGCATACCCTGGCATCTCACCCATACCCTTCACAGACAGGGTCTGAATTGTTGTGAGAAGATTCCAAAGGAAATAATACCGCAACTACAAATTATTTACCTTATTGATTAATTTGTCAATGTTATATCAACTAAAATGTCAGAAAAATTAAATGTGCTGAAATGGCTTGCGTTGGTCAGTTCAAACTCCAAAGATATTTAGCTTAATTTCAAAGGAGCAGCCCGACGTGCATCTCCGCTGAAATGTAACTATGGGAGGCAGACCTCCTGTTTCTTTTTGTACAGTGAAATCATCTCCCTCAGTGGAAATGAAGGTTTTATTTACTTTTATTTCACAGATTATAAATGATCAATTGCAAAGACAATAAAGCCCCCACAAAATAGCATTAGAAGTCTTGTGAGTGATTTATCCTGGCTTCATGTGAGTAGAGGAAACGTCTGCTATCAGCTAAGATAATTTATACAAAGGGAAATGTCATAGGCCTATGCTAATAATGCATTATGTGGGGAAAATGTCTAATATAAGATACTCATTTTGTTGGTGAACCTTGCGAGTTATAATGGAGCCAAATTTTGTCTACCTTTGTTAAATGTAGCATTTGAAGTTGTGTGTGTGATTTATCCCTGCGTCATATGAGTAGAGGAAAAGTCCTCTACCTGCTGGGCTAATTCATGCTATGGGAAACGTCATAGGTTTATGCTACGTTAGCATGCGGGGAAAACATGTCTTGTATAAGACAATTGTTTTGTTGGTAAACCTTGTGGGTTATAATGAAGCTAAATTTTGAATGTCACCTTTGTTAAATGTAGCATTTGAAGTTTTGTGTGTGATTTGTCCTGGCTTTATATGAGTAGAGGAAGTCTGCTAGCTGCCAGGCTAATTAATGCAATGTAAAATGTTATGGACTTATGCTAATAATGCTAGCATTTTTGTATTTGTGGTGAAAATGTGTCCAGTAAAAGACAATTTGTTTTGTCTGTACTCCAAATTTTGTACTTTTGTTCAAGACTGTCACTATTAAGCCATGTTTTTTGTGTTTTACACAGTTTGTGGTTTTGTATGTATTAGGTGAACCAATCAAACTTTACAGCACATCACAGAAACCCAGCAGAGTGGCATAGAAACCCCACTACCAACTAGTGTTTTGGAGGTTTAATTGCAGAGTGACACAGATAGCACCACACAAGTATAAATAAACATATTGGTTTAGACCACTGACGTAAGCTACAGCCTGGGCTCTGCATGGAGCCTATGTCTAACTATAAATCAGCCTCAAGCAAAGAGCAGCAGATTTTCACATTTGATAAGCTAGAACCAGGGAGTTCAGGTTTTGATTGACTGAATTTACTTAAAGCATGACTGTTGATAGACATAGTGTAAAATACCACCTGTAGCGTTTGACAGTTTATACAACCACTTCTTTTAGCGTACGTAACCCTATTAAAGCGGTGTTAAGGTTAATAGGATACAATCATAATGTCTCAAAATGGGCTCTGAATGGGACACCTAGAAAAACAGACCAACTTCAGGGTTGAAAAGCTAACCACTCCACAAGATCAGCATAAAATTAAGTACTAGTATTTACCAGAAACACACAACACCTCGTAATACTGGAGAAATACTGCAGGGACAGAAATAAAGAGACCAGGTTGGTAATGTTTGGCCTTGAAAATGAATCTAGGCCAGTGGACTATTACATTCTCTATTAATATGCCGGGAACAAAGAGGTTTAACAAGTTGACCATCTTAAAAGTAGATCCGTACTTGCAGTGAGGGAACCTTATTATTTCAAGCTTTGTTCAGTTAGTTTAGCTCATTTTATGATCACCTCTGATATGAAGATTTTTATAATGTAATAGGTAAGAAGATCGGTTACATTTGTATATATGAAGATTTTGTTTTGAATCATGAAAGACTATTATACTAATTTTCAATCAGCAGGTCACACATTTCAATAACATATAAGCCAAAACTCCAGATCCAGGTTGTGACTTGTCAATTAATGATTCCTGTCTTGTAATCTCAGTCACTTTGTAATGTTGTCCAACATGTGTGTGTCTTGTATCTATAATATCAGGCAGAGGTGACTCTTGTGCACTCACCGATAAGATCTGGTCGCCTCGCCTCAGCTCTCCACTCAGGTCAGCGGGCCCTCCTGCCAGGATGAACGAGACAAAGATGCCCTCGCCGTCCTCGCCGCCCACGATGTTGAAGCCCAGGCCTGTGGAGCCTTTGTGGAGCACGACCTTCCTAGGTTCCCTGTACAGACAGTTCAGATAGTACATCAGCTCGGGGGAGTCGGTGGGTTTCAGCATCTTCAGCTCGAGCGGCAGAGGACAGAGAGGTGGACAACAAACGAACGGTGCGTCGACAAAAGCCTCAGTGATGCTTTGCACAGGCAACAGAGCTCAAAGACTGCTGGAGCTCCACAGGGGGATGGTGCTCTACTTAGGATCACTTGTCCCCAATTCAGTTCTGACGGAAAAGGAAACCTCGTCACATGCTTACATACACCCTGGCTTCTTTCCTCTCTCTGTCTCTCTCTCACACATGCACACACACTAGGATACATGCATAGAGTGTCTACAAACATGTACTAAGGGACACTAGCTCACTGTAGGGGTGCCATAGCATTTTCAGGTCACTGACTCAAATACAGACATACTTTAGGCCACAGATTCCAATTTTGATAAGATTTGCTTCAAGGCAGAGGCCATATGATATAAATAAATGTGTATATATATATATATATATATATATATATATATATTTTTTTTTCTGTTCCTACAGTGTACATAGAGAGAGATGACAGCAGTTATTTTTATGTATTCTCAAACAGGAATGATATCCAGCAAACTGATCCACAAAGTATTTTGCCTTTTGCAAAGTCCAGCAATGTCATCATGACGTACGCAGTATACTGCCATCTGCTGGTGAATGTATAAACTACAGTGGCATGAAGATGGGACACCACGTAATTGGGCAGTCTAGGCCTTTCCCTTGAGGCTTTTTAAAGCAAAGTTGCTGAGTATTTGCTTCATCTTCTCTTGTACTTCAGAGGCACCAATTATATGTCCACTGTATTCCACCAATTGCTTCAATACTGTCAAAAAGCCAACCTTTGACTCAACATCATTTATAGACACATCAAAAGTTTCCGGCTTTATCAGGAACTTGGGAGGTTTTAACTTGACAAAAACACACAACATTTTGTACTAAACTGTAACATACTATGTAGTTTGTGACAGCTCTTCTCGCACTTTATTAATCCTAACCTTAAAAACAAGCAAAATAAAATCAGCCTCCAAAATTAGCATAATTATGTTCAGTTACTTCAAATGGAGTACAGATCCCCCAATTTCGATCTGCTCTCTGCCACTTTCAACCATCTTTACAACACTGCGAGTTTTATAACAAAACATCTTCTGATCATGAAGCAATGCAGTCTGGATGCCCTAAAGAATGAATTGACATTTAGTGGAAATTATAAATAGTTTGCAGAAAGCTGCTGCAGAACAGATGAAGGAATCATTCATGCAGAGAGCAGAAGTGACTTAATGTGAAGAGAATTGTTTAGGCTTTATATGTATATCATACCCAGCACAATGTCTGTGAGTAAACCCATAGTCTCTGATCATTCATCATCAAACAAGCACTCGGTGACGGGCTTGGTGCTGTTGTTATTATGGTTGCATGGTTCACATGAGACACTAAATCAACCCCCTACGGTAAATGCATGATTAATCATGAAACATTATAAACATGAATAATAGGTTTCAATAATTTAACAACATTTGGAAAACAGCAGATAACTTTGGTGGTTCAACTTCATCTTGTTCGTGACATTTTCATAGTCTGAAGAAAATATCTCAGTACTGTCTCTTATGTATGAAGCCCAAGACAGTCATGGATGGGATAGAGTAAGGTTCAGGTTAAAAATGGTTTATACTAAGATGAAGGCAAGACAGAGCAATGATGTCATTGCAGTCATTTTCTCCTGGTAAGGATTCCCTCAGTGCTCAACAAAATATATAACATGGGTCTAGTTGTTTTTAGACCTTTTAATGCGGCAAAGTTAAATTTTATATCTTTAAATTAGTAGAGTGATTGTATCCCTAGGATGACACCGTCTCTCCACCCAAGCAGCCCAGCTATGGACATAGAAACACAAACTGTGTGCTGCACATATTAACGTGCACATCGCAACTTCTCTACAGAGAGGCGACTCAGTTTTGATCAGTTTGGGGGCTGAAGAGAAGTCAAGCTACTTATATTTATATAGGCCAAAGTCACATATCACAGCTTTGCTTCAGAGGGCTTCACAATGTGTACATCATCCTCTGTCCATACACTCTCCATTCAGATAAGAAAAAACACAAGTGTCTGCCATGCAGGGCCATATGTAGCCACAGTGTTCTTAAAATCTAACAATATTGTTTCAAATGGGAAGTGACAGATGGCCTTTAAAAGTAGAGACATTCATATTCTACTGCAAAGAGCAACTGTTGTCTTCCTGCAGTAAATCCCTGTTTCTTTTGCCATGTGGCAAACTGTCAGAGGACTTGACTGCACCTACAGAAAAGCAGCATCTGTGTTTTACATCACATCCAACAGATCTATCAACCAATCAGACTCACAACTGTCCAGTCAGCAGAGGATTCACATTCACACCAGATGGAGAAAATGATCTACTGTATGATTAAAACTCAAATTACCATTCGTAAAATGTGTGTACAACTACTCCTACTACTGAATACTTACTGCACCATCTATATACTTAATATAATTTGTTAAAGTAGAGTATGTAGATATTAGCAGGGTTCTATGATGTAATCCTTGATAACATGTTTAGACTTGTAAACGTGGGAGGACATAATTTAGTTCCTTAAATATTCTGTTTGTAATTTAAAATAATCAGAATAAAATCAAACCAGAACAGAGTATGTCGGATCTACACATCATGTTAAATTAAAAAAAGCATTCATCAAAATCCTACCTGTTTCACATATTGATTAAAAGAATTCTATCAGTGAGGAAAAGAGATGGGTAAGTTGTAAAATAAAATCTGAGGGGATCAATTATCCTGCGTTGCAATACTCTGAAATCCAAAGAATACATTTTTAAAGGTGGATGCTCATCTAATTTGATGCTACAGTTGATTTTAAGCTCAACTAGGCTTTGCCAAGAGCTCAGACTCAATCTCAAAGCTGTCGATACAGGCTCCTTATTTCATGATCTTTGGTCGCCCACAGTCTCTGAGATGTGCTTCACTGTATATTAGATCAGTCATGGGAAAACACACTTATAACTCATTTTGACTCTCATTCACTTGGGGCTAAAATGAATCCATGAAAGGACTGTGCTACCATGGAAACAGCAAAGAACCTGGAAATTTATCAATAGAACAAAGTTGGTATAAAGGGTCAAATTAAACAGTAAAGGGTTCATACAAGCAGAGCAGTGAAAATGTGTTTGGACACGGCAGGGGGCAACATGGCTCAGAGAGGTGGCATGTGGTGAAGGTTAGGCACTGGTAAATGGTTAAAGATCATGGTTGAAAGAATTGGGTTAGTAAAAATGTGTGACTACTGACTACAACAGACAAGGTCACTCATCACCTTGGCAGCGTGCAACAGCCTCTGCAGTGTCACATTTATGACCAAACCAATCCTTGAATTTCCATTTATATTTGGATACTTTCAGTTTGCCTAACGTGGCTGCTACTTCCCTCATTCACATCTCTTTCTCCTATCTTAGCTCCACCAATCAGGGAAACCAGTGAGACGTGAGGATGGAGGGACTGTATCAACCAAACAGGACATCCTCTCTACCTCCAATACTCATGACACACATCATCTCATCTGTCCCATGATGTTTAGAAATACAAAGGGTTTTAAAGAAGAACAGAGAATTCTTATAAATGCTGCCCCAACACCAAACTGGTGTGTCAGGTCGTCCGAAATATTACATGGATAGGTGATTAAAATCGGCTAATTACAGAACAGACATGAGGGAGCAATAAAATCAGCTAGAAATGCACACAATTTGTGACAGGCTGCAGGTGGAGTAAGTCTGATACGTCTCAGGCTCAGGCGGATATTGCAGGATTTATGGTATTGATTGTGCAGCTGTGTAGAACAAATATTTGGTGCACTCGTGATGGAAAATAAGCAGAAACCAAAGCTTTTAGGCTGAAAAGGCAAAGTTGCATAGGCGTCTGTGTGATTCATTCATGACTCAGCTTATTTACATATCTGATGACTGCATGCAATAAATAATCATGAATAATGTCAGAGCGTCTGTTGGTGCAGCAGCTGGGTGTTACTGAAATGTTCCATCAGATGAGCTGACCAGTCACTGGAGAGATTCAAATTAAAGGGTGTTGCCATCAGGTAAAAAAAATGTCCTCAGATGATAGACTGTCTCATACTTGACAACATGAACATTGTAAATGGGTCCAAGTGTTTTTCCTGTTGTCATGTTTGTTAGTGCAGTAGCTCACAGGAAGTTAAGAGGGACCAAAGCTGTTGCCCTACCAACAGGATAGCAATGAAACAATCTATACACCTGTGGTTGCTTGCTCCTTGTTTCCTTGTCCTGGAACATCCTCAATGATAGTAGACCTCGGTCCACCATTATTAAGGATATCTGGGTCACGGAGGAGCAAAGATGGGATGAACCAGAATTACCTGAATGGAAAGCACTTAAAGATTGTGTGGTCATATACCATAATTTGTCATAAGTATATTACTTATTAAGATATGACAGTGATTTTATCACCCAAACTCAGACCTACAGCCAGAGCACAGCAGCTTAACTTGAATTATAATACTGCTTACTTTGTTTCAGTAGCTTTCTAATTCCTACATGTCTCAACTCATTGAGTTCCTCCATCTATGGTGTATGCCAAACATTGATTAAACCAGAGGTGAAAAGTAACTTAGAACATTTACTCCAGTACTGTACTTTAGTACAATTTTCAGGTACTTGTACTTTACTTTAGTATTTCCAATAGGCTACTTTATACTTCTACTCCACTACATCTTAGAGGAAATGTAGTACCTTTAACTCCTCTACCTTTATTTGGCATCTTTATTAACTTGTTACTTTGCAGATTCAGATTAAAAATAGAAAATGTAGTCAACAAAGAAACTATGCTGTAATATCATGGGTTAAGATGAGACTTTTTTTCTGTCCTTGGGGGTGGAATTCACACGCTATACAGCAGTATACAAAGTAATTAAAATTAGCCACACCTTTACCAGCTGCAACATTAATTAATGCATAAAAATTATGATCCGATGATATAATAAACATTATTCCAAACAGACCATTCTTTTGTACTGTTACTTAAGACTTTATGTTAAATAAATGATTTTTACTTGCAACAGAATATTTATACAGTGCGATATTGCTACTTTTACTTGAGTTAAAGAGTACTTCTTCAACCACTGGATAAAACTGGTACTGTGTATGTGATCAGGCTATGAGGCTCCTGCTTGATCAGAGGCCTGAAGAGAGAGAGAGAGAGAGGGGAAAGTGGAGGGAGGAGAGGCATGCTAGCTTGAGAAAACAACACCAAGACGTGGCTCCTGCGGGGCTCAGAGAAGGGAGAAAGCAAATGAGTGCATGAGGAAAAAAAAAACAGGTGCTTCTAAAGGACAATATGGTACAGTAACATGCTATTTATATGGTGGGATGGGACACAGTGGCGGAGTGCAGAGAGATGGTAGTGGAGGTGGTGGAAAGTACCTGGTGAAGTCCGAGTCAGGGAACAGGCTTAAGTGATATGGGAGGGGGGCGGAGTGGAGGAGGCTTTTGTCGCACTCCACGGGGGAATAGTGTCGGGGGGAGGGTGCTTTGTCACAAAGTTTGTTCACAGTGCTGTAAACTGGCTCAGGAGGCCTACAGTGGAGCGAGAGACAAGAGCAGAGAGGTTAGTGTCCAGAGACCGAGGTGGGAGAAGAGTGTGGGATAAACAGAGATGATGGAGGCACACAGATGAAAGACACGAAGAATAACAAAAGTAAAGCAGAGACAGGAGGAAGTACTGGTAATGGTGTAAATGGCATATGGTTCTTGCTGGTCAATACACAAAAGCTGACCTTGAAAAAAAGGCACTTAAATTAACTCATACCCTGTCACAGTCTATTGCATATATTGAACAATCTGTTGTGGCTACTATTAACAGTTATTTTCATCATCCACCGATCTTTCTGAATAATAATTTTGATAAACTGATTAATCCCTCAGTCTATAAAATATCAGAGGTTATGGAAAATGCTCAGGGGAATGTCCCACAGCTCAAGGTGATGTCCTCAAACGGATTTTTTGTCAGACCAACAGTCTAAAACCCGAAGATATTCTGAGTGCAATGAAGAGCACAGCAAGAAGCAAAAATCCTCATATCTGAGAGGCTGGAACAAAAGGACTTTTGGCATTCTTTTCTTGATAAATGACTTCAATGACTGATGACTGATGAACCAATTAAACGACAACTGTAATTATTTTTCGGCACCAGCCTGCATAGTTATCCATTAAACTACTTTCTGTCAACATATTACATGTGGTAGAGGTATTAATATTACTTGATATCTTAGAGATTAAATCATTTACAGTTTGGGGAAATTCATTTCTGTTATGACAATATATGCAACAAGCTAATCTAAGAGCTCTTAAATAGTGTGTGGTTGTTAGGTTAAGGTTTTTTTTCCCATTAAATAAAGGGATATGACTACTGTGGCACAAATTTCATTCAGGTATAGATCATACATCTTAGCCATAATCACAGTACAATCAGTGTAGGGGAGTAATGAGCTACATGTAATTAAACTTGTATATTAACAACATTTAGCAGTAGCTTGATGGTAGTTCAACTACAATCAGATTTTGACAGTGATTTAAGTAATTGCATTACTTTTTTTTTTTTTTTTGGCCATTTTTTGTGTAGCTAACTACTGAATCTACAAACAATTTCGAGGCCATAAAAGTACTGACAAGATTTTTTGTTTTTATATTAGCATTGCTTTCTCTACTGTCATTAAACACCCATTTGGCCAGGATTATTTATAAGTATTGATTACTGCTATTTATTGACAAATGTTAAGAGAAGTTAGACCTGGCTTACTGGTGCAATAATACCCCTACCTGGCTCCCAGCTTCTGAGGGCAGGTGTATGACTGATGGGCAATGTATACAAAATCAAAGCTGACATGAATAGTATTTTATTTTTTGGGTATCTGTAGGCAATGACCCAGATGTAAACAGGTGTGCACTTTTTGCAATAAACTCACTTGAGTGGCATTCTTTGCTGGCAATATATATTATATTTTGTCATAATTTTGTATCACATGTACATTGTCATTTTGGTCATTTTTTACAAAGTTGTTTGAGCTACCTTTTCTAAGTAACTTAAGTTAACCAAACTAGGTTTTCCTTTGGGTAGCTTTGCTGTAGTTCAACTTCTTTCAGTGTAAAGTAATTGGCAGCTTGCAAAGTTATGCTTTCAAAGTAGCTCCCCCGACACTGATACTGTCACTGATACAGTAGTTTGGTTTGGCAAGGATCTTTATCTTCATTTTATGGATACTGTCAATCTCCTGTTATCACTTGCTATAAATGTAGCAAAGAGTCATAAAGTCATTGAGCTGACTAAAAAAGCAATATAAATCTAAAGTTTGATAACATTAGTCACCATACACTACTGGTCATAGCAGCCTAAGAAAGACTGTAGAAGCAAAAGCCCTGAGTGTGTTGGACTGAACAGGGTGTGTTTTACATTTTGCTTTTAAATTCGACTCATTATTATTGAAAGACGGACTGTGTCATTTTGTCTTTTAAGTATTATAATTTTGGTTTAATGTGTTAGCATGCTCAGCAGACAGGGCGATCTACTGGAGAAACTCTATTAGAACAAACATGAAAACGCCCTCACTGGTTGCTCCCCTATTTAAAAAGGGAATAAACACATTTGTGCAACATCAGCATGCATACTAACATTTTAAAAAAGTCAGTATTCATATATTCTTTTTGGATAAAAGAAGCCTATCTCTAAAGAGAGAAGTTAAGGGAGAAACATTCAACTGTTGTTCAGAATGTATTCATAATGCATAATGGAAAGAGGCTCATGCTTAAAAAGAGAGTCATGATGTAATTTCTATTTCCAACGATTCCTCGCAGCAACAACAACAACAACCAAACAAAAAATAAAAAACAAACATGCAAGGGCATGCAGTAGGTGACTGAGCATGCTAAGTATCTCACCTCAACTGGAAGTGCTGGGAATCAAACCTGTGACCCTCCCCGTCATCTAGTGAGGGATTTCTAATAGGATGGAAAAAGTCAACTTTTGATAACCAACCAATGATAAAGGTCTTTGATCATAAAATGCTGTAATGTTGCCAGTTGCATTCACACATAGATTAAGACACTGATGTAAGACACACTCGGGGGCATGCTACACAGAACAAAACCAGACAGCAGAAAACAGAAAAAAACATGTCTTTGAAAGTAGTGAAGGCAAAGTCTATATCAGGGACTCATCAACAACATCATCACTAAACATCGGAGTGTGTTGGCTCATGAACAGTGAGCCTGCATGGAGAGGCAGCGCTCATCTGCTGCAGACATGCTGCAAATCCATATCGTTGGTTAAACATTCAGTGAACGCTCAGTGTGTGCATGTCTGCTGTTTGTGAACTGATGTGGACTCACATGTGTTAACTGGAGCATGCCATACAGTGTGTGAGTTTGGAAAGGAGCCATTTATGCAGAATGTGTGTGTGTGTGTGTGTGTGTGTGTAGTCTCTTGACATGAGGCTTGTAGTCATACTATAGCAGACAAGATTAGAGTAGATGGACATACTGTACTGTAGGTCTTGCCTACACACCATGTCATTTACACTCAAACACACACACATACACACACACACACACACACACACACACACACACAGTGCCGCATGGACTAGACTTGTGATGTCACTGTTTAGCCTGCCTTGAGCATACTGCAGCACAACACCACCATGTACACACTTCTCTCCTCCTAATCCTCCTCCTGCTGCGTTGTCTCTCTCTCTCTGACCAACTGTTGTGTGTTTGCATCCCTTTCAAACATGAAAACATCTTCACAAGCAACTCTGTCCCTTCTGGCAAACTGTGGCTGAGGAAAGAAATGTAGACCTGAAACTATCTGGCATCATCATAATAACAGCTACACACAGCAGCCCTTCTTTACATTCAAGCATCTAAAGAAATAAATGACACTGCAGAGAGTTTTATTGACTTCGCCCTCCACTGCATCAGGTGATAGGAGCTGCCTTTCAGGCAAGAGTGTTTCACTCATCATATATCAACATGACTACCCAACATGGCAGTGCTATCAAAGAAAGGATGAGTGTGAATGTCTTAGGACACCAAACAAAATGAGGTCACTTCATCTGCTTGCACAGTGTTTTTCTTCAGACAGCAGAAAGCTATGACAAGAGACTGAGGAGGGGGAACACACAGCCAGCCCCTTCGGCAGAAAGAAATGTTGGCATTGTATGTTGATGCAAATCATGTATAAGTAACATGTGTACGTTTTGTATGTGTCATATAAACATTTCTAAAATGACGTAGTATATGAAATGACTTTGTCATCAGGAGGTTGAGGGGATGGTGGTTGGTGTGTTACTTAGGCCAGTGGCTCCCAACCTGTGGGTACTGACCCCGACTACAGGTCGCCAAAGCTTCACAGGTCACAAAGTCTTCTTGATTTTAAAGGGTGTAAGACAACTCATTCATTCATTTACTTATGTGAAGAAAACTAAATGAAATTTTCTTTTCTTTCAAAGTTTGTATTATTATTTAATATATTTTAAACTAAACAAAGTGAATTTTAAACCATAGACAGACACTGACATGATCTGATTTACTGAGTAAAGTGTTTTTAATGACCTTATCTATATGCTTGTTTTATGAACTGCTCGTCTGTTTTATGAACTGCTTGTCTCTTTTTATAATGTTTGTCTCCTGTATTTCGGTGGACCGAAGGCAAATGGATGGACTACAAAATTCTATTTAAATTCAATAAATTGTAAAAAGAGCAAAAAAAAAAAAAAACCCTCACAGGATAAGGGCATGGTGAATACTTGAATAAAAGCTATATTCACAGAGCCTTCACTTTCTGCTTCTGCTTAGAACAACCAAAGAGCAAATATAACAGGGAGAGTAAGACACTGAATTTGTCAAAAAATAAGCCTATTAAGTAAAAAACAGAGAGGACTGTATTAAAAGTTAATAAAATTGACAGGAAAACTCATCTTTGATGCAATATTCACAGGAAATAATCTGCTGAAATTTAATTCAAATTGCCTGTTTACCACAAACTCCCTGCAGTTATTGTGTTCACTTTCTGGCTTATTTGTACAGTGTACCCTGTTGTGGTTGTTGTTTTGGCAACCCTTTTTCTCCACAGAAGATGCTGTTGTTTTTTAATAAGACATTACTGTGTGGCTGAGATTGTGCCCCCCTAAAACGGTATTTTAAGCCAAAACCTGATCTTTTTCTAACCATGACAAGGTGTTTTTTGTGGCTGACCCTAACCACGTTAACCACAGCATTGTTGAAAAGTAAAGTTTCAACATATCCGCTACATAATAATGTGCAAATGTAATGTATCTGTGATTTGCAGAATCATACAATACATATTTTTCTGGCTCTTGGGCTGACACAGTTTAATGCATGTCAAAGATCAGAGATCAGAAATGTAAATGATGTTTCATATAAGGCAAGTGGTCAAAAACATGCTGAGAACCAAATATTTTATACCAGATTTTATACTTTGTTTGACCCCTGGATTCTGCTTCTACTGAGTCTCAATACAAGTGTTTTTTTCACCTGCTACAATGCATCAGTCAAAAATAAAGTCAGGTTGTCAAAACTCTTCACAGAGTCAGTAAAACAGAAGTCTGTGTGAACCAAGCTGTGAATAATCTTTTAATGCTTTCACACAAAATGCATTCGATGACCACATTTTCCAAAATCCATGAACTCTTGTCTCATTCATAATCCACCACCTGCAAAGCACTATATATCTGCAGCACATTATCCAAATGCTAACACAATGTTTTCTTCACAGTTAAAACACATTTGAAACAGAGTGATGGCAAATTCCGTGCATTTCTGCAATAACCATATTGAAATACAGAGAAAGTCTTGGAAGAATATTTACAATAAAATGAAATAATAATCATTCCAAACACAGCTGGAAACTTTCCCAGGTGTACTGTTTTTGTCTTGTTACCAAACAGACAAAAGGGCTTCAGAATTATTATTATTAGGGTCCGGGCAGCTAAGCTGCCAGGACACTATTGTAATCCTAGGTATTCTTCTTCTTTCTTCTTCCGAGGAAATCATACTTCCCATGGGTGAAAACTCACCAAACTTTGCACAAAGATCCAGTCTCATGCCAGATATCCTCAGCTGTAAACTCAAGCCAATAGTCCTGATGGTGGCGCTACAGCAAGCGTCTAAAGTTCAAAACCTTAAAAATTCATAACAAATCAACCATGCGTGCTACAACTTCACAACTTTCATCAAACTGTAGCCCCAATACTGAAGAAACTTTTGAACATTTAAACCTGTTAAAAATTATGAAGTTCATCACTCTGTTTTTTCAAAAACTGTAAAAATTCTTAAACCTATCTCCTCCCACAATTTTTGCTCAATTGACACCAAACGTGCTACAGAGCATCTTCAGACTGTCCTACAAAAACTACGTTTCTCGGATTTTTGATTTATCAAAAATTGAGCCTACAGTGCATCAAAATGTTTGACTGTAAACAGTACTGTAAACATATACATGCAAATTCTTGCTAAATAAATCTTTAATGTTCATGTTGAATTTTGCTCTAATGTGAACAATTGGAGTCAATGTAAAAATGGCAATTTTAAACATCAGTTTTTCACTTATGGAGCAAATCAATCATGGTTACAAACAAATCACCAACATCTCCATGCTGTCTAGATGCAATACGTCTATTTTTAGATTTTTGTTTTGATAACTGAATTTTTTACAGTGGTTTGAAATCTGCTTTTCCATGCATGGACGGCTGCCAAACCTGCACGTCTGGCTTAGTCAGTTTATGAAGCTACACATGAATTGTCACTGACTAATTAGCTCAGTGAGATAGAAATTGATTCTTAGTCTCAGAGGTTGTGAGTTCAAGCCTCAGCTGATGTAAAAGGCAGATTGTGTTGCTAAATGTCTTCCAATTCTTCTGCTTGTTGCTCAGAATTGCCTAAAAATGCCCGGACCCGACCCATCACTGCGCAGCAGCTACAATTAATATTTAGTTTTCGCAGCCCCAAATTTATTTTTTTTTTCGTCAGTTTTTTTCTCTCACAAGTTAATTATTATTTGTAAAGATAAAAGAAAAAAGAATACTGAAGCAAATAACTGCATTTCTGATTCACTCTTGTTACACACACTTTAGTACAGTCAATAAAGGGAAAAGGTGATATTCTTATTTTGTAATGAAATACTGATTTATGTGACAAATCATACAAATTTCAAAGATAAAGTTCATTGTTTGTGGAATGCTGTCTGATGTTAGTGTTTTTAGGTCAGTGTGTTATTAGTGACAGTGTTTGCTTTCAGAGTGAGAACAGTTGCCAGTGTTTTGACTCAACAAGCTTAGTGCTAAGTGTTTTGGTGGTTTAATGAGTTTTGGAGGTGAGATAAACTGTTTGACCAAATGCATGTTGGTAAAGTACTAAGTATGAAGAGTTTTGAAAAAGTGTCTTTAGTATTGACCGATGCTTGTTAGCATTTGAAAAAACTGTACAACCCAGTGTTGAGATGCAGAAGTCAGAGAGGTCTGCATAGTTGGCTTCGTTTCTCCTGCTGAATCATTCATATTGCAAAGAGCTGAGCTGAGGCAGCCAGTCAGTCCACACCAGACCAAAACACAGTGACCTTGTAAGGACCTGTAGGTGCCATTTAGAGTCTGGAAGGGACTGTACAGCTGGCCTGTGGAGGTGCAGTTCATTCCTCTTTTTATTTTATTCATCAGCCTTTAACTCAGCCAAGTTTTGGAGTTCAGATGCTTAAAAGGACAGTGACTGTGCACTAACGTTTCAAAGGATAATTGTAGACAATCGTGCAGATGATCTGAAGTAGCTACTCTACTAAAAAAGAGGTTGTTCCAAACACCAGGAAATAGGGTGAAAATAACTAAAGACAAAGCTTCAAAAGAATTTGGACAGCAATACATTGCCTATACAAGGGTATAAAACATATGGTCTGCAAGCCAGAATTGCCCTGCCAAAGGGTCCAGTCA